CATCTTGGACCTGATTCAGGTGAGCTTTCCTTCCTCCCCGTCCTCCCCCATGTGTGTGTGCGTGCGGGCCGTGTGCACTGTACAGGGGCCGTGGACCGTGACGGTGGTGGACATGCTGACGGGTCGGATGGTCCGCCCACCCGTAGGTGTTCGTCGAGTCGCTCGATAGCGCATTCGAGAACGTATGCGAGCTCGATCTGGTCTTCCATTTCGACGAGGTGCGTGCGTCACAGGGCGTCCGCGCCGTTCCGTGTTCGCGCTCAGATCCGTTTCCCCGAAGGCACATCACATCCTCGCCGAGATCATACAGGGCGGACTCGTCCTCGAAACAAACGGGACCGAGATCGACCGTGCCGGTGAGTGCTCCCCCCGATGTATCCCCGCTTACCCTACTGAACAGCGCATTCGTTCTGCCGCACACGTCACTTAGTGCAAGAGGCCGCGCGGGCACGGAAGGAGTCGTTCGCGTCTGCCAACCCGCTGTCGCTCGGTGGAGGTGGAGCTGTCGGTTCACGCAGTGCTGGGCTGCAGACACCCTTAGGGTGGCTCACGGGCAGGCTTGCCGGAGTTGGTGCCAGGTAGCACAATCGTATCCCAAGATTACGACACCCAATGCCCATGACCCGGCTTGTGCTATCCTCGTCTTGTAGTACCTAGTACCGTTTCCGAGGACCCGCTCGCACGCCTGATTAGGCTGGCAACCCCACAACCCACGGGTTCGGGAGGACCTTGGCGTACGATATGTTTCCCGGGACTGAACCGTGGCGGCCGAGTCGTGTACTTCCACAATGTTACAATCGTCATGGGATTAGGTTCATGGGATAGCGAGCATGCGATGACAACAGTCTTGGACAGTGCACGCGTAGAACATCTGTAATGGCAGGGTACGATGACAGCCTGCATGCGTACCTTGCGAGGGTGGGGCTGAAAGACAACAATGCCGCAGTTGCACGGCATAAGCAAGTCTGTGAAAAAGAGGACATTTGTGTATCGACTAGGGAGCCGGGGGCGGAAGGGTTGCCGTCCCTAAGTCGCGAGGAGGTTTGAGTTCCAGGTGACCCACCCTGCCGACATGACACTTACGCTTCTTTTTCTTCTTACCACCCCCGGGCGGACCTTTGGGAGCTTCCTGTGGTGTAGGGGCGATAGATGGGGCTCTGGTCGCAACACCGCCCGGGCCAGGTGCCGGGGTGACAGACGATCGGCCCACTGTCGCTGCAGCAGGCGTTTCGGGGACGTTCTCCTCGGATGCAAGTACCGGTAATTGAAAAGACTGGTGTGCATGAACAGCTGTTGTGCTCATGGCGTTGAAGAGCAGCATGTTGTTCTGTTGCCGTTTGGTGTCACTGGAAGCAGTGGCTAGTCCGCGTGTGCCTGCAACCTCCTCGGTTTCTTGTGTGTCAGGAGCCGGCTCACCGTCTTGGGTGCGCTTCTTCGCCGCTGAGCTATTGCCGGAAGACGGCTCGACGATCGGCCAGACAAAGCCAGTCCGCGGCGTGTACGCGGGCCTGTGTGTTCGGAGAATGTCCAGCGACTTTTGCAGCGATTGCAGGGACGTGAGCTGCAACATGTGACGCGATGAACATGTGCACACGGAAGTTCGAGGGCACACAGGCACTCACGAGGCGATTAGAGACGAGAGTGTACACGTCCGGAGACTGGTAGATGCGGTTGTTCAAGATGAAATAGACAGCCAGTGGCCGGACTGTGCGATCGGACCTCAGGAGGTGTGAGAGGACAAGACTCACCTACGACTCACCTTCATCCGGTGAGAGTCGCTCGCGCTTGTGAATGATGAACAAAGAGGGTGGCTCGGCATGCACGAGAGTAAACTCGATGCCGGTGAGACGTCTAAGAATATGGCCAATTAGAGGGCCGACCTAACGAACGACGTGCTACTTACTTGAGCTCCTCGGCTTCGTTCAGTAATGGCTGGCCGGTATGCATGGTTTGCATCCGCAGGAACTGATTGTTGCTTTGCTTATCGTAGAACATGGACGTGGTGAAATACTCGAACGCGTTCTCGGGGGTGAGAGGACCATGTGCCTAGGACAGACAGTGTGAACACGACGAGCAAGGCGCGTCTGGTGGAAGCAAGACCTGTATCCACTCGTGCCAGATGAAGAAGCGATGGCTGTAGTCGTCTGGAGGGTGCAGGTCGACGTCCATGTCGCGCAGCAGAGAAAAGCAGGAAGTCGGAGACCGTGGTGGTGGTTACAGACAAAGCGGAGGACGGGCCCGGGGCTGCGGCTGGTACGCGATTGGTGGCGGGACGCGTTCGCGCGTCCTGGCGCGTCTCACACTGGACGGCAGCTTTCCCAGCGTCGACCACCGGCCTGGCTCCAGTGAGAACGCAAGCCCACTGCGCCCGCTCTCTCGTTTCTGTCCCGCTCTCCTGGTCCCGACAAGTACTCGCCGCCGCCATGGATATCCCAAAATTCCCCCTTTCCCGCCCCCATCCACCCAGATGTCTCTCCTGGACCATCCAGACCGCGACGCGGTCTATCAGACTCCGTCTATCCGCGATGCACCCGGCTGGCGGGCACGAGCAAACTACTGCTACCGCAAGGTTGCGCACCATGTCACAAAACACGTAGGAGTAGGCATCATCTGTGCGGTAGCCTACTTCGACCCGTGAGTGCATCCACCTCTGTCTTGTGGCGCGTCAGCACGCTGAAACTGGCTACACAGAGGAAACTGGAGCGTCGACCTCCAAGCAGGGTCGCTCTTCGGATATAGACCGATGCTCTTTGTGGTTCTAATGGCAGGCCTCGGGGCAATGGTACTGCAGGTCAGCCGATTTGGCATGTCTCTCACACCAACTGCACTGACCAGCCACCCTGTTGCAGTCTCTGGCCTTCAGGCTCGGCTGCGTCACCGGCAAAGGTATACAAGCAGCCACGTTGCTTCGCTACGTGATATTGACGCAGCCAATTAGACCTTGCTTCTCATTGTCGTTTGCTACTGCACGACCGACCTCGTTACAAGCGCTTCTTCCGGTATGGCGTTCTGTACCCACTCTATGTGCTCTCTGAAATCGCAATCGTGAGCACTGATCTGGCGGAACTGCTCGGCTCTGCTATTGGTCTCTGTCTCATCTTCCCGTCAATCCCTCTGTGGGCGTCGGTTCTCATTACTGCGTCGGATGTTCTGATCTTCCTGATTCTCGGGGATCCATCTCGTGGCCACGGCCGACCCGTCAAAGTATTCGAGTTCACCGTCATGGCACTGGTGGGTTCTGCATTGCTGTTTGCACACCGCTTCACATTAATCACCAATACTCAGGTTGCAGTAGTGTTTATCTGCTTCCTTGTGCTTCTGGTTCGAGTCGAGCCGATTTGGTCGGAGGTCTTCCTTGGCTACATCCCATCAAAGGCCTTGTTCGAAACGAAGCCTGACGCATTGTACACTGGTGAGTGTGGACATCGCACCCTTCCGGTCATCGGGTCACTGAAGGGTCATCCATACAGCCGTTGGTATTCTTGGTGCGACCGTCATGCCTCATGCACTCTTCCTAGGGTCGTATCTGGCTACTCAAGATAGAATTGGGCCAGGCCCCACGCTACCAGACCCTGTCGTGTCGTCACCACCCTCAAACCTTCGGGGGAGATTGAGGGCCTGGTTTCAGTCCCTCTTCACTATCTCTCGCGCTGAGCGCATTGCCGCCTCAAGGGACTACCGGGACAAGTACGGTCGAGAGAATAACGATCTCGGTTTCATCCGGGCGCACCTTTCACATGGACTGGTGGACGTGATTGTGAGCCTGTTGGCCGTTGCCGTGCCAATAAATTCCGCGTGAGTACTATCACTGTCAGCAGATGGGTGCAAGGCGTCCTGAGCGTCAATTGTCTTGTCAGTATTCTCGTAATAGCAGCCACCGTCTTCTTCAGAGATGGATCATCAGAGACGAACGTTCCTGCCGGCCTATTCGATGCCCATGATTTGATCAAGGACCACATTGGCAAAGGTACGACGGAAGGCCCTGCTTCACGTAATACCTAGCCGGAATTTAGCTGATCCATCACGCTCTCACAGCTGCCGCCTTCATTTTCGCCCTTGCATTGCTATGCGCGGGCCAGACTGCGAGCATCACGGCTACCCTTGCAGGCCAGATCGTCTCCGAAGGCTTCATCGAATGGAGAGTGTCCGTAAGTGTCTCTCGCGCGTCTCTGCGGATGCAATTATCAACGTGTGCTCAAACAATGCCCATTGCCCCTCCAGCCATTCCTCCGGCGCATAATCACCCGCCTCATCGGCCTGATTCCGTCTGTCGTCGTCGCCATAGCGGTCGGTCGGACGGGCATTGACACCTTGCTGGTCGCGTCTCAGGTCGCGCTTGCCCTCGTCCTTCCGTTCGTCGCTGCGCCTCTCATCTGGCTCACGTCGTCAAAGTCCGTGATGTCCGTCAGGAAGCCGCCGTCCGCAGACACCTCCACCTCCACTGTGGCCCCGTCCGCTAATACGCCCGTGACATCACCGACGTTGCCGAGTCCAGATGCGATGCCTGTGCCACTGCCCGATGTCATCGAAGAAACCGAGGTCCCCACGATGCAGGGCCTGAGTCCGTTGGACGAGAAAGAGAAGGTGACAGTTGAGGTTGAGAAGCACGAACGCCACACGCCAGACGTTGAGGACGCTTCTGTTGATGAAGATGCCTGCGTTTCCTTTGCGAGTGGTTGGCTGGTCACGGCCATTGCATATCTCATATTCCTGATCATTCTTGCCGCCAATTTCTACGCGATCGTGATGCTGGCGTTGGGTAAAACGTGAACACTTAGGAGACTTCAAATAGACAAGCACGATGTATCATTATAGCTATGTTCTTCAACTCTTGCTTCGTGGAGGATGACGCAGCAAGGGCGATTGATACCACCTATTGATGGCAATCATGGTGAACAATGGCGTGAATCCTGAGTTTTCGCGTGTCCGAGTTGTGAAGAAACTGGGTGCAATTTCCTTTGCGCATGCCGAGGGGTCTGAAGACATCCAAAAATGATACTAGCCCACCGCGAGGGTCGAACTCGCAGCCTTCAGATCACCACCTTGCCACTCACAATAAGAGTCTGACGCTCTATCCGATTGAGCTAGGCGGGCGGTACGAAACCGCCACTACGTTCTACTATGGCTGTGCTGTCATTCCCACAAAACGCTAACCCCGAGAAGGCTGTGCGTGTGTAATGACAGTGGTGTACAGGTTGCAGGTCCTAGGGTAGTGCTACACATATCGATAAGGTATACAATCCGAGTCGGCAGGGGGGGTACAAGGACGAGTACAGCCTAGGACGGGGGCGCTAAAATCAGAAAGGAAGGACCGCTAGACCGAGCAGAGCAGATCCGAGTACAGTCCAGACAGAGGTCGAGCCAAGTGGGGATGAGTTGGGCTGAGTAGGCTGTCCCACAGCAGAGCCAGGGTCGCCGCCAGCGCCAGACTGCGCACCGGTTGACGAAAGAGAACTGTTGCCCATGATCTGCGAATACATTTGGAAGGCCGCCTCGCCCACCGCCAGAGTACCGTGGGTGTACGCCGGGACCTCGTGGCCACTGTGGACGTCGGTTGTGAGTAAGCAGGACGAATAGGCCATGGCCGTTAGTAGTTCGGCGGCGGCGGAATCGGAGATAACTCACGCGCCGTAGATGCGGACGTAAGAGAACGTCCCAGCGTTCTTGTATATGCCTGTAACTTGGCCGCGCACCGTGTAGTTCGTGAACTCTTGCTTGGCGTACTCGTCTGTGAATCTTGTCTGGAGCGCATCGACCTACAGACGAATGTGAATGGTACAATGACCAGAGTGTGTGGCAGACTCACCATGGCTTCGACACCGTCAAAGTTTAGGATGTAATCCTGCACAGCTTGTTTCGGTAAGTGCCCCGATGAAACGGTATGAAACGTACCGCGTCGCCGTCGTAGATGATAGTCCGCACGCCGGCATTGATGACAGATTCCAACAATGGCCTAGAGTTCCGCATCCAATCGCCAGTTCTCGCAAAGTTCACGTATATCCTGTCGTTGCTCATCTGCCAGTCCGACTCAGCACCAATCTTGTCCATGAGCGCACGGTCGCCGAGGTAGCCGTCAAGAGAGGGCGGGTATGGATCCGGGTACAAACTGAGGACATAGTACGGGTCGTACGGTCCTAGAAGAGGGTTCAGAATCGCGCGGTTGCAGAAATTCTGAGCGGATGCGCATGTCTGGTCTACGTCCAGACTGTAGCAAGCTGTGATCTATACGGCGATTGTTATCCGGACAGTACCACAACAGTCATTAGCGAATCACGCACCATATCCTTGCAACCGCCAGGCCTCGTCCACGCATCCGATGCGGACTCCGCGACGTCAGAGGAGGTAAGAGGATGGTACCTGTGGATGTGTTCAACCAGGCCTGACAACCATGTGGCAGCGAGTGACACATACGGGTTCGATGCGGAATAGCTCAAATATCCGGGATATTGAACAAGGGGGTCCTGTGCCGAACAGCAATCGTCAGCACGGCACGGTCGGATGCAGTACTGGTCCGGATGAAATTGGAGAGACTGACCGTCAGACCATTGCCGATGCCCAAGACTTTGAGGTTGATGGTCGTACCAGTCACGGCGCCATTAGCGATGCCATCGTTCTGCTCCAGGATGTACCTAGTGGTCGGAGCCGCGTTAGCATACACGGAAATCATACGTGCGTGATTCCATGGTTGCTTACGAGGCAATTGTAGGGCCATAGTGACCTCCATAGCTATCAGATCGGTCAATGATGCTGTCCAGTGATCATCACGGAGAAACACAGCTTACGACTCCGTCCACAGAGCGAAATTGTTATCCTTGTACCTGGAGAACTTGGAGTCCGCAAAGAAGATCTGCAAGAACTGAGGAACGCATGGGGAGTGTGAAAAATCAATGTTGTTGTTGGGTGACATCAGCCGAGTGGATGTATGCGCACCTGCCACACGCCTTCTGCTGCTTGGCGCGAAGTGCCCACTGTTAGCTCGCCATGTGAGAAGCCAGCCCCAACGGGTTGGTCGAGGTACAACCTGGCCGGTGGGGTAAGGTTGCGAGACAGGTTCGAAGGCACGAGACACGCGGTCACTCGATCGCGCGTGGGACTCACATGTTCGAGACGTTGTTCCACGAGAACGGGTTGAGTCTAACTTCGGAGCTGTCGTTGGTAATCCTGCACGGACCGTTCTCTTGGAAGAGTCCGATCATGGACGAACTGCCCGGCTGAACAAGCGAAGAGTCAGCATAACGTCTGATACGTATTAGGGCTTCATACCCCGCCATTGAGCCATATCGTCAGAGGGGCCGAGTCTGGGTTTTCCCGAGCGGCAAAGAACCAGAACCTGGGACGGGTGGTGAAGTGCGATCAGGGAAAACGTTAGCGGTGGATCGATGGAGGGCGAAACGCGAAAGAGGTGATGGTTAGTGCGAGATTACGGCGATAGGGCGGGCCGCTTACCAGAGACTCTGGTTGGCAGTGAGGTCACCGTAGCCAGAGGCTTGGTAAACTCCAGGGGTCGTCTCGCAAACGCCACTGTTCTCAACGACACGCAGTTTGCCTGGAGTGGTGGTGATGGTGGTGTTTGGGGCAGCAGCCAAGATGACGGGCTTGGAAGCGGAGGCGTCTGGCGAATCGGAGTCTGGGACGACCCCGAACCTGCCGTCGAAGGCAGGAACTTGGCCAGCAAGAACCTGTGCAGCGAGGGCAAGGAGGCCCAGGAGGACGGGCCGGGGGCGCGTGGGGAGAGCCATGCGGAGATCAGAGGTGGACGAGGGGCGTGGAATGGTGGGACGCGGCCTGGATACGCTCGGACTCGGAGTCGCGGCGGCGGACAAGATGGCAGTCGGTAGCGCGTGTCCGACGGTGGATGAGAGGCGAACCTAGTCCGGAGACGCCCAGGGCAGAGCTCGTGTCATCAATGTGATGGCTATGCTCCTGATCCCACTTGCCCGATCTGGCACAGCGCGATCACGCTAGCCCTCGTTCAGTCGGCTGCTCGCACCCCGCCAGCAGCCGCCACTCGTCTTCTGATTGCCCACCGCCGTGCAAGGCAATCCCAAACACCAAGGCCTCGCTGCCGTGCCTGTTCATCACCTCCGATATCCGTCACATTCTCTCCCTGCCCGACCGCCGCACCATGCCCGCCTCGCGGCGCGGCGGCGGCCATCGCCCACGTCTACGACATGATTCGAACCCACCGACGAGCCCAGATTGGCTCCACCACCACCTATGCCACAGCACTCCGAGCCACCTCGGGGCTCCTGTCATTGTCGACAGTGCTCGTGACAGTTCAGGCGGTGCCCCCGATGAACAACCAGATAGGGCATTGCCGCCATTCGATCCAAGATTGAACCATATAGCGACCCTCCATGCACGGCCACCAGTAAGCGCACGTGTATGCGGCAGAATAAATTATCGCCATATTATCCCCGCCACCGCCGTGAGATTGCTGACCGACCAATACCTCTAAAAGGCTAAGAATGATCCGTACCCCGTAACAGATCGGTGGGGCGGTGGCTCGGTACGGATGTGGGTGCAATAACGAATCGTCCGCCGTCCGGACTCCGTGTGGCCCGTGGGCAAGGGGTCGTTCCGGAAACAATGAGTGGCGGCCATCTCGGACGCTCCGATGTGCCTCGGAAGGACCAAGGGCCTCTTTACAGCATCCTTCATCCGGGTATGCCTTCTCTGACGGCTCTGCGTGATCCCCGCAAGGCTCCCTGGGCCCACCTACTCACTCGTAGTCACACATGCATGACGCGCACACGTCGCCACCATGTCGTTGCAGCAGATCGGACGCCTCGCACAAGGCGCGCCCTCCCGGCCCGTCGGCCATGAGTTGGTGGCATGGAGACGCGTTGGAACGGACTGACGTTGGTGAGAACGTCAGCACGCAAGACTCATTCGTACCCTATACTGAGCTGTAGGTTTGCGAATACCATGGAAACACGTTCGGAGCGCTAGCTTTTGGACAGCCAAGAACAGACAGACGTACCGGTGTATGAGGTTCCCTCATTCGCGCGAGATGTGCGGACGAACGGACCATGGATGGAATAACAAAAACGGAAGGCTCACCTTGTACTTTCGTCGGCCCATATGAGTTCCATGCGCCCAACGTCTGGCGAGCGCGCCCCCCTGAACGCCGAAGCACAATGTGATGCTCTGGTGTCTCGTGCCACAAGAACATAAAGTGACAGAAACACCGCTGGGTGACTGTGTAACGAACTTAGGACCATACCCAGACACGGAGGGCAAGTTGGGTGTGAACTTACTCCAGGATCCGGTGCGTTGGTGCGGTAACACACACGAAGAAGCCTATGATTCTTGATGAGTAACAATGCATCCACCTCCTGGGACGAATGCTTAAAGCGCGTCGGTGATTGTTGCAATTGGTATATCGACGTTGGAAGTGATGTACGATGTACAGTTCGCAGAACATACATTGCCTGGAAAGGCTGCGGCGGCCTGTCTAGTCCCGAACACCCCGAGGTGGAGATGGCCGCAATGCAAGTGCTTGATGTCGGCCGGCCTAATCCTGGTGCACGCGCTTGCGTGCAGTAACGGATCGGTGGAAGACGACATCCTGCATACGTACGGTCGTCTGGTGGAGAAGGTCGGCGGAGGTTGGTCGGCGGTTGAATTTTGGAGTATTCACGCACCATCGCATGGGGTCCTGCCATGGCATCACGGCTTCGGAAGCTCGGGAGTACGTTTCCTCCTGGCCATTGCGCCACCCATCTATTGTCTCTGGCCGACGAATTACGGTCAGCGAGCACGCCCAAAGGCGATAGCAGTATGGAGGGGAACCAGCATTCGCGCCGCAGCGCCGCCGCCCACCATGAGATACATATACGTCCGCGTTAAACTGCGCACCGTGCCAACAAGTGCGGGCGCAGCTCCGGGGTGGGCTAGGGCCGCAATACGTCGCAGTTGTGGGGTCAAGCTTGGACTAACCTGGACAGCCCTCGGCCGGCGGCACCAAGTTAGGCGAATGCCGACGTCGAGGGTGATCCCTCTAGATTGCCGGAAAAGAGGACTCTTGGGATCAGGGCAATATGTGCAGTTGCCTACTTGGCCCTATCGCTTAGTGCATCCAGGGAGGGACA